GCAGATGAGCATGAAGGATGGACAAGCTTCGGGGATTTTGGATTGGGAATACAACAAAACACTAACACTCGGGGATTTGGGAATAGTCAGACGCCTGCTAATATCGATGATTATTTTTTAGATCGAATCAATGAATTGTTAAACGAATTCAATCAATGGCATCAGCGTGACCAAGAAGAACAATAACGTCGTCTATCATTTTATTTTTAGATCATATGTTACTAATTTTATGCTTTATTGTAGTCCATGTATGTTGATATACTTATTCCATGATAATTTTATGTTTATCCTTTTGTGTGATGTAAATTAAATGTTGAATGGCGGTTCATGCAGGGAAAGAACATATCAATATTCGCATATTCATTCAAAAACATGAAAATTCTTAATGGAGTACCCTCATTTCTTATTGAATTCTTAAAAAACAATATTTATAATGAATTTTAATAATTTTTTCGGATTTTTTTTAAGCTTTATCCTTACCGATTCACCCGATTCCCGATCCGAATCGCCGATTCGCCGATCCGAATCGGTTTTTTGGGTGCTCGATCCGGATCACCGATCCATTTTTTAAACCATTGGTTAAAACAATAGGAGATGACAAGGCGTCTTGCCCATTAGGTCCTGAACAACGGCCGAAGTTAACTAACGTAAAAAAACAAGTACGAGTCCGAAGAATTGTAGACCATGCACCACACCTGTTTATGCTTGGGTAAGAGAGGCGTATTTATGATATAAATTGAATCCTATATAGATAGTGTGTTATGCTTATGTATGTTCCCTCTCACCTGTAACGGTGCTGCTAGGATCTTTGATCTTGGGGTTGGACTGATGTTGGGACTTATTGCAACTAGTCAGTGAAACCATTGATCGTGTAGTTGGCTTCACGGTATATTTGCATATTTGTTCATAAACTCCTCCTTGTAAAGTTATTTTGCACATGTTATGGTTAATCAAGTGAAGCAAATGGGGAATACTGTGAATTATGCTAATATCAATTTCAGTTCCTCCTATTATTTGTAAAGGTGCCATTAGAGTACCAATGCTACAGGTATTATTGAGAAAAATATGTGCCCATTTGAGAGGTTCAATACCATGTTTTGAATTTTGAAAGCTTGCATTCTGATGCATCAGATTTTGTAATGTGAAGGCATGACGAACTCATCCAAAGGAGCCATCTGAGGCCACTGCTTCATGGGGATTGGATTATGTTGTAATTACTAGAGTGGAAAGAGATGATTTATCTGAGAAAGGAAGTAGCCATTTTGCAGATACAGTGCAGAAATAGAAAACACTCAAGCCAAGTGTGCTTATTGGAGCACTTGTTAGGGCCTACTTCATGAAAGCCAATATAAATCCTACTGGTGCTTTTATTTCATCATTAGCTTTGATTTTAAGATATACCTTTTGGATCCATATCTCATATTTTTTTGAGATTTTGTCTATATTACTTTTATGCCTTATTAGCCCGGCCAGGACTGCCAGATTAGAGCCGGTTACCTGGACCAGTTCCAAGCTACCTTGACCCTGCCCATGACTGGGTTCCATTCCCGGTTCATGTTTTCTAACACTAGGATGGATCCTGCCTCTTTAGCAATTCTGCCCCTACATTGCAAGGTTCCTGAAATGTATTGCTGCCATATTTGCTCTTTGTGTTGAGAGTCCCAGATTGTATAGAACAACGGTGAGAAAATAAAGAAATAATTCCTATTAAAATTCAAAATGGGTACTGATTACAAGGAAAAAATTGTTAAGAAATAACTAACATTAAATTTTCTAATAATAAAAAAAATTACAAAAGAACATTAATTTAATAGAAAAACAAAAAATTAATAACCATAGGATGAAAGTCTCATTTGGGGAGAGTAGGGAGTCGAAGAGAGTACGAGAGAGAGGGAGATTGAAAAGTTTGTAGACTCCATGTCTGAGTACTGGGGAGAAGAGGGAGTGTATTGAGGATAGTTGGGGGAAGAGGGAGAGTATTGGGGAGAAGAGGAAGAGTATTGAAGGAGAGTATTATGGAGAGTTGGGGAAAGAGGGAGAGTAGTGTGGAGAGTTTTGGGAAGATCGGATTGTAGAGAACTTCATTGTCTGCATTCTTATTTGTCTCTGCCCAGTGTAGATCTTCCTTTTTCTCGAGTTTGGTGTATCAATCCCAACTCCTTTTCCTTTCTCACAATCTGCACAATATAATGAAAAGAGTAAATCAAAAGCAACAAAGTGAAGAACAATGATTTCATGCAACGGATGTATCATACTAAAATGCAACCACACTTCTAGAAAACCATGTTTTTGGCATTTGTATGACTCCAAATTTTGCACATCCATTCTCTTCATCCTCATAATCAATCTTATGGAAAAAAAAATTTCAATTTCTACCCTAGATATGGTCAAAATTAGTACCCTCCAACAATGAATCTCGACCGTCCATTCGGTGAATTTCAAGATGTAGGCCTTGACAAATTCAAAATCACTTTTATCTTTTGAGCATCATTAATCTAATAATGATAACACTATATAAAAATTTTGGGAATAAAAAAATCTTTTTGAGGCGTATATCTAACCTTCTCACTAAAATGAACGGCTTATATTAATTGGGCTAGAGAAACACTTTTTAGGACGTTTTTTTCTAAATTTTCTTTTTTGTGATTATTCTTTAGAATGAAAATAGTAAACATCTAAAAAATTGTGCCAAACAAATATCTTTAACATAGTTTTTTAATATGGTTGCATTATATTATGATATAACTGTTGCATGAAATCATTGCTCCAAAGTGAAATTAAACTTATTGCGGTATGTAAGGTCTAAGAAATTAAATAATTAATAAAATAGTTAAATAAGCAAAAATGGGGAAAATATAGAAAAAGTAAGAAGAATTCAAAAAAATAAATAAATAAATACTAGAAACAAATATAACTCTCTTGAAACAATAAATAAATACTCATTAAAAAGTTCATCACTTTCAAGCCATTGCAAATTACAACATTAAAGGCTAAACTATATAAGTATATAAAAGAAAACCGACGAATAAAAAGAAAAACAGAAAATTTAAAAAAGCAGAAAGTTTTTCTCTAGTTTTTCCATTTTTTTATTTCTGTTTTATCTTTTTTAACTTTATTTTATTTTTTCTGTTTTTTTGGATTTTCTAATTTCTCTCTTCGGCATTATCCAATTCCCATTCCAAAAATTGAAAACATAAACAAAAGAAATGCCCCATATGTATTTCACTTTCTTTTTTTGCATTTTCATTTTTTTCTTGTTGGTTTATTAACGTCCTTTACAAAACATAAACTAAAACAGAAATTGCAATTTCAATTTTTTCCTTATTTCATTGTTTGGATTTTATTTAGGATTCATCTTTTAAGCCCTTATAAATTTCAATATCAAAAGTTAAAACTAATATATTAAAAAAAACCAAAACGATAGGGATTTTTCAGATTTTTATATTTTCGTGTCTTAATTTGAGGCGTTTTTACAAACTGTAAAACCCTTCCTTAATAACCTAAAATTGAAACCCAAAAAGAAAAAGAAAAAAAAACAATACAAAACCATAAAACCCTAATTCTTGACCTAAACCTAAGATGGAAACATAAATTTTTCCTTATTTTCCTATTTTTTCTGTTTTTTTGGATTTTCTAATTTCTCTTTTCGGCATTTTCGATTTCCCATTCCAAAAATTGAAAACAGAAACAAAAAAAATACCCCATATGTATTTCACTTTGTTTTTTTGCATTTTCATTTTTTTCTTGTTGGTTTATTAATGTCCTTTACAAAACATAAACTAAAACAGAAATTGCAATTTCAGTTTTTTCCTTATTTCATTGTTTGGAGTTTATTTAGGATTCGTCTTTTAAGCCCTTATAAATTTCAATATCAAAAGTTAAAACTAATATATTAAAAAAAACCAAAAACATAGGGTTTTTTCAGATTTTTATATTTTAGTGTAGTAATTTGAGGGGTTTTTACAAATTGTAAAACCCTTCTTTAATAACCTAAAATTGAAACCCAAAAAGAAGAAAAAAACCCATACAAAACAATAAAACCCTAATTCTTGTCCTAAACCTAAAATGGAAACATAAATTTTTTGTTATTTTCCTATTTTCTAAACCTAAAGAACAAAATATTAAATACTACTGACTATTAGATACTACAAATCAAAATAAATAAAAAACTCACCTGTGATGTTGAAGCTGGCCGTCGGAACAAGTATAAACTTGCCGGAGGAGCTTCTGGCTTTTCTTGATTCTTGAATCTCGAGATTAGTGAGAGAGAAACAATAAAACTTCCATTTCTCTCTCTTATTTAAATAGAAAACGTTTCGTCAAATTGTATTCTAGTCCCTTGGGAGTATACTGTTCATGTACTCCTTCAGGTAAAAATTAGTTTTAGGACTTCTTGAATATAACCTCATTCCTAATTGAACCCTTTCCCTAATGAGCCAATTTGTGTTGCAATTGGATGCTTGCATTTGAGGATTTTAGGTAGACCTCATTAGCCAAGATAGTGGCTGTTTGGAAATTGAGTGTCAACTGAGGCTGTGGTCATGTGTCAGCCTGTGTCGTCGGTCCAAGCGTCTTTTTGTGGATTTTCACTTGGACAAGAGAAGTGGCATCGTAAAGACGGTTTTCACCAACTTTTGTTATTTCTAGGCTCCTTTACTCACGACCTTGCAGTCATGTCCACCCTTTTCATCCTTTTTTTGCTCACAATGCCCTTTTGGGATTTTCATCACGCCTAGATTTTTTTTTCCACAGAACTCTCTTACTCATGGTTTTGTGACCATGCCCGTCCATCATTTTTACTAATGGCGTTCCCTTGTCTAGGTGTACACCATGCCCATTTTTTATGAAGGCATGTTTTAGGGTCATGCCTTCGAGACCTGTGTGAAGCCCTTTAATGTCATGCAGCTAGGACGTGCACTATAGTTTAGGGTCATACAACTGGACTGTAGTGGTGGTGAATGGCAGTGAGCGTGGTTGTGGCTTTGACTCACTTTTGAAGAGATGGCACGAGGTTGCCTATGAAGAGTTGATGATGAATGAATGGTGGGTGAATAATGGTGACCCACTAGCTGATTGCGAGTACGGGTGGCGAGATGGCTTGCCGTTTTGTGAGCATGGATAAGACTTACTGAGGAATGGTGAGAGATGGTAATGATGAATGGACTCACTGGGAAGGTAATGAAGGTGGTGCACACAGACGAGCGGGTCGGTTAGGGAATATGTGCACAAAGATGCACGTAAAAGGCATGTGCGTGTGTGTGGCCTCACTAAAGAGGTAATGGAGGTGGTGTGCGCACACGAATGGTTCGGTTAGGGAGGACGTGCACAAAGATGTACGTAAACGGCGTGGCACGTGTGTGGTCTAACTGGAGAGGTAATGGAGGTGGGGCACGCACACGAGCGGGTCGATTAGGGAGGACATGCGTGAAGATGCACTTAAAAATATGTGGGGGCGTCTTTAAGGTCATGCCTCCTGGACCCAAGCAAAGCAGTTTAACGTCATACGGTCAGGACCTGCACTATGGTTTGAAGCCATGTAGCTTGGATCGCGGTTATGCAATTTAAAGTCATGCAACTCGGACCATGCAGTTTAAGGTCGTGCAACTAGACCTCTGCTATAGTTTAAGGTCATATAGTTTGGACTATGGCTGTGTAGTTTAAGGTCATACAACATGGACCATAGTTATGCAGTTTAAGTCATGCAACTAGGACCATGCAGTTTAAGGTCTTGTAACTAGACCTCTGCTACAATTTAAGGTCATATAGTTTGGACCAAGGCTATGCAGTTTAAAGTAATGCAGCATGGACCATGCAATTTAAGGTCGTGCAACTAGACCTCCGCTATAGTTTAGGGTCATGTAGTTTGGACCATGGCGCTCAGCCTTTTAACGTCATGCGATCAGGACGTACACTATGGTTTAGGGTCACACAGCTGGACTATGGTCCAACAGTTTAGAGTCATGCGACGAGGACTACGCAGTTTAAGGTCATGCGACTAGACCTTCGCTATGGTTTAAGGTCAAATAGTTTGGACCCTGGTCGTACAATTTTGAGTCATGCGACGAGGACTAAGCAGTTTAAGGTTGTGCAACTAGACCTTCGCTACAATTTAAGGTCATATAGTTTGGACCGTAGCGGTGCAATTTAAGGTCATACAACATGGACCGTTACGTGGTGAAGGCATGCGACTCCATAGGGAACAAACCCGTCACCGAAGACTGGACTCCCAGAGGAGTGAGACTGTGGCACAGGGAATGAACCTCCTGAGGTGGTAGGACAATGGTCCAGATGGGAGTGCCATGGTATGCTAGTGGCACTAAGCGTTCGATGGCACACGCGGCATTACGCCTAAATGATGTGCACACGGCATTAAGTACTTGTTGAAGAGCACAGCATTAAATCCTCGACGAAGGGCGTGCGACGATAACCTCTGGGCGAAGGCACACGACGATGACTCTTAACAAAGGTGCGTGGCGATGGCCCTTGACAAAGGAACGTGACGATGGCCTTTGGGTGAAGCGCACGGAAATGGCTCTTGACAAAGGCATGCAACGATGGCCCTTTCGGGTCTCGGGTTTTGACCCTCCTCGGCCTGGTTTTATTACCACATGGGGACTGACACGTCATTTCATGTTTATAGAGGGCAGTTTGCGACACTGCTGGGTATAAAAGGGAGGAAAATCCCTCTTTACTGTTTTACCGAACGGCTAGAAAAAGAATTTAGAGAGAGAGAGAGTCAGAGCAAGGGGTTTTCATCAAGAGATTTCCTGGCTAGGACTTCCCAATCAAAATCTGCAATAGAGCGGGAGCTCTCTCTGGCGAGCTTCAATGGGTTGTGGGCCTTTGCGAGGTGCTTGCGAACATCTTTGGAGAGTGTCGAGGCTCTCCGAGCAAGGAACAGGGTTTCTCGAGGCCTTAGACAAGTTTTGCAATGGTTCTTCTGCAGGGGCTTGAGTATTTCTCCGGTGCTTCTGCGGTTGACGAGAGGTTGCAGAGAGTTTCGGAGGGCTCTATCAGTCCTCTGGTTATTGGAGGAGAAGAAGGAGGAACAACTGTGGGCTCACCGGGAACTGAGTAGAATTCTGGTGAGCTGAGCTTGTGGCGAATTGCTGAAGTGGGAAAACAGGGAGAAGGGAAATTCGCGGGGTCACAGGGAGGCTTTTTGGGGATTTTCGGTGCCTTCCACCAATTCTGGTAAAGGGTAGAAGGCGGGGAAGGGCTTTTCAGTGAACAGGAGTGAGTTCCCGATGAAGAGGGGAAACGCCAGTGGGAACTCGAAGGGTTGCGGGGCCATAACAGTCGAGAGACAAAGGGTCGTGAGACGGCAAATGGTCGCCCTCCGCATGTACTGTGATAGGCCATGCCGCAAGTGTCAAGGACGTGTCCGTATTTCGAGGAATGCACATGTGGCACATGCTTGACAACTGGAGCACAAGCATTAACACATCTTGGTCGTGAGTCGGTGATACCATCTCAGTGGGCAGACGATGATAGTCTTCCCCCTTGGTTGTGGGACGACGATACCCTGACAGCATTACACCTTGAGTGCCCAATCGGTGATATGCCTTTGTGAGCGCAGTCTCTTCACGGCCACCTAGCGTTCTTTACCAGTGAAGCTTATGGTCTAATGGATGAGTCTTCAAGTGTCGTTCCAGATGTGAGGAATCTCCCGCGAGAAGGGGAGCTTGATACTGCTGAATTAACCGATGAAAGCTTGGTGAGAGGTGAGCCAATCTGGTTCACCGAGGCCTTACGTGAACCAAGGTGGCTCTTGAGCTTCACCTTTGTGAGCTCCCCCGTCCAGTTGGTGACGAGGGAAGATAATGATGGGAATGTGAGTATAGAGGCAGCGGTAGGCCTTTTGCATTGCCTGCACCGAAACGTGGCCTCTCATGAGAGCTTGCCGACTCTAGGCAAGTGGATGGTGGAAACCCCAGGTATGAAATGGTCTTTTGCCAGCTTGCGGGTACAAGCAGAGCACCAATACCTGAGGGGGTACTCCTCGTGGACCATGAAGGTGTTGAGGCCTTTCAGAAATACCTTGAGACAGGCTTCCTTGGCAGCTGCCCTCTAGTGCTCAGCGGGCTACTACGATCATTGCTCTAACACAGTCAAAGTGTTGTGGGAAACTTGGAGCCATGCTAGCAACACATGGCTTCTTGGTCATGGAGAGGTAGGGATATCGCTGATGGACCTGTACTTCATTGGTGGGCTGTCGCTCCTTGGTGTTATGTACGACGAGTTCATTCCCCCAAACTCAGTCATTTTTTGCGGGGAGAAAGTAAGTAAAGAAGCCCCACCGGCCAAGCTTCGAGAATTATTTGAGATCTATCAGCGGCTTTATGATGAGCCCAAAAGTGAACGAGTCACCTTCGCCAAATGGGTAACATTCTTCTTCGGCGACTATATAGATGAAGCTTTGCTAAGAAAAGAGGGGAAGGAAACCCCACCAGTTTTCGAGCTTCGGAAGAAGAATGAGCACATCTACCTGGCGTCTTATTTGGTGCTCTTCTTATGTAAATTTGCCTTGACATGAGGTGCAGACGTCATTCGTCCCGACACTTTTTATGTGGCCTGCGACATGGTGCAAGGGAAGGAGTATGCACTGGCATAGCCCGTTTTGTGCAGTATTTATCATGGGTTGGGAGCCATTTCAAGGGGAAGGTAGTATCATGGGGATGAAGGAGGGAATGGCGTTGTAGATGGCGAGGCCGTCCCATGAGATTTCAAGACTCCTTTCCTGGTCCATTATGTGTATGGCTGGCTTCGAGCTTACTTCCCTGACACATACCTTAGACCCAAAGAGTTAGAGGACACCTTGTGCCCATTTTTGCTGAAGAATGCCATGCATAGGGCAATTTTCCATCCCCCAAGCCATCCACGCAGCTTGTTCCTCAATGATCACCACCACGTGACCCGGATGGCGTTCCCAGTTGGGGGTCTCATAGATCGTGCGTATGTGGACAAGCTGGGCCACCACCTAGATGGTGACTTCACCAGGTCAAAAGAATTGATGTTTATGCTGAGTGTGAGAGGCGGAGTTCTTGCCTATTACACTGTCCATGGCATGAATCTTGAGGCTACTTCCCTCATCTGTTTGCTCGGCAGCATGGGCTAGATTAGGGCTGCCTGCTCTCCATATTCTTTGAGAAGCAGCATAGCAAGGCCGCCTGTTGGAAGAAGGACGAGTTGGGAACCCTCAGGGAGATTTGGCTCCCGAGGCACATTCGCACCACCTGGGCCACATGCTTGGAGACCACCAC